TGAAACGTTATTTTCTTAACAATCATCTAGTCAGTCAGGTGTATTTGTTGTACGCACGCGCCACCCACATTCGCATACTTTCATTGTTTGAGCATTTGTCTTAATGCATACGCATACGCTTAATAACAATTGGGGAGTTTAATAATGCTCAGGTCTCGTTGTAATGCGCTCAGTCCCAACCATGGCTAGCTGGTACCCACACCTTCTCCCATACGGGCTTCCACACGCGCTTCCATTCCTGCACTTTAACCTCCTTCCACACGGGCACTTGTATGGCCTTCCATTCGTCCTTCCACGCCTGCTTCTTTTCGGTGGCCCACGCTTGTTTCTTTTCCGTACGCCAGATTTGCACTTTCTCCTCCACCCAGGTTTCGCGCTTCTCCTTTATCCAGATTTGCTTCTTCACTGGCTTCCAGATTTGCACCCATTCGATTTTCCATTCTAATTTCTTTTCCGGCTTCCAGGCTTGCTGTTTCTCTGTCTTCCATTCTTGCACCTTCTTTGTTTCCCATTCCTGTTTCTTTTCGATCTTCCACTCCTGCACCTTTTCGGTTTTCCATTCTTGTTTCTTCTCGGTTTTCCATTCCTGCTTTTTCTCGGTGCGCCACACCTTCTTCCAGACGGGCTTCCAGATGAGCTTCTTGCGCCACAAATCGTGACTGGTGTACTCCCAACCTTCGTGATCCTTACCCAAGTACTTTTCGCCGGGTATGCCCATCTTAACCCATTCGGGCACGAACATTTGCTTCCAGTCGGGCACTTGCACTTCGCGCCACACCGGCACTTGTATGTCACGCCAGATGGGCACTTGTATTTCCTTCCAGACGGGCACTTTTATTTCGCGCCACACTGGCACCTTGATTTCCTTCCACACGGGCACTTGGATCTCGCGCCAGATAGGCACTTGTATTTCTTTCCAAATGGGCTTTGTGATCTTCTTCCATTCTGGCACTTTTTCCTCTTTCCAGGCGGGCACTTCACGCTCCTCGATGTGTGGCTTCTTGACGATCTTCCAATCGGGCACTTTCACCTCCTTCCAAATGGGCACCTGCACCTCTTTCCAGATGGGCACTTGTATCTTCTTCCATTTGGTTTCCCAGGCCTCCTTTTTGATTGTCTTCCACACCTGCACCCAGTCCTCCTTCCATGTGAGTTTCTTTTTCCACACACCCTCGGGCGGGTGCGCAAATGTGAGGCTTACGATAAGCGCGCAGCTGGCGCCTAAAAGCTGCAAGAATAAATTGAGAGTGAAGGATAAAGTTTAAGATGTGTCGATTTTTTTTTATTGCTGATTATAATTTTTCGTTTATTTAATTATTTAAATATAAAATTTTTTGTTGAAAAAGATTTTAATGAATTATTTGCCACTATATACTGTATTTGTATATATAGAAAAATAATTTTTATATTGGAGTCAATAGAAATAAGAATATATTTAAAAATATAAAAAAAAAACATTATTATTTAATTTATCGAATTGGGATTTATTTAAACTTAAAAGAAATTAAAAACAAGTTGATAAAAATTTAAATTAAAAATTTTAAAAAATGTATTACGAAAATATGAAAAATGTATATAAAGTATCGAAAACTGTTAAATTAAAATTTATAACATCATAAAAGACAGTTAAAAAAACGTAATTATTATTTAGCCAATTTCAAAACTTTGTTTTCAGTACAATAATTTTGAATTTAAATTAAAATTAATATCTAGATACATCGAAAAGGTTTCGAAATTAATGGTTTAATTAATAAATATTATGTAAAATTAAATATGTTTTTACGTTTTAATTTTTATAAATTCTTAGTTTCAATCTCTTGATATTTGAAGTTGTTCTCTTTCATGAAAATTATATTTAAATTATTGTATAACATTTTATATTAAAAAATATTAAAAATTAAGAAAAAAAGGTTTAATTGATATGAAATGCATAAAATTTAAGTAAAGTAAAAATTGTGTAGTAAAGAAATAAATAAATTATTAATAAAACTAAATAAAATATCTAATATTGAAACAAGCAGTTTAAAAATTTATGCTTACAAATTGAGATTTTCTTGTCATAAAAATTTTTTTTCAGAGTGCTCAGAAATTAAAAATTTAATAAAAATAAAAATTATTTATAATAATATATATAATCATAAATATTTATAAAAAGTTGAAGTTTTTTGCTTTATTCGAAAATTTTCCAAATATTTTGAAGCAAAAATTTAAATATAATTTTTCGATAAGATCGAAACTTTCTTGAATTTATTTTTATATAATATCAGTCATATGATAAAATGGTTGCTCAACGTCGATTAACATGTCTTCAAATATAAGGTTATCAGCCTATTTCTAAGGACCCTTAGAATTTTGAATAAGTTGCTGATGCAATTCATAACAGTAAGAACCAAAAATGTTGAAACTTACGAACTCGGTACTAAAGTGACTAATCGCCAGAATTTAGTTACATAAAATTGCGAGATAAAGTATAATTTTTAAATATTTATATTAAATTTAAAATTTTTTATTACTCCTCGAGTCACAGAGTATTCCTTACTTTTGTTAAAGTTTATAAAAAAATATATTTCATATAATTTTTTATTTTATAAAATATAAAAATAAATAATTATTTTATATTTTTTAAGCAATAAGATTATTTGTTATTTCATTTCTTGGTTTTGTTAATAATAATTTATATTTAACCATATTTTTTTATTTATTTATTTATTTATTAATATTGTGTATTATGTAATTATTTTATCATATTACCGCGCAGATCTTTTATTCAAAAATCAATTTAATATTTTTTTCATTTAATTTAGCACTTTAAATACTTTTTCACTTATTTCATTTTTAACAAACACTCATTAATACATTTTTTAAAAATATATTTTTTTTATATTTTATCTCTTTTTTTAGATTTAAATATTTTTTATATAAATATATGTTTGTAATCTTTCATATTTTTTAGAATATAATTCTATATATGTCAGTTAATTTTTTTCAATTTAAATTAACACCCACCAATAAATTTAGGGATCTCATCGCTTGAACCCCTTGCGTCGCGTTTAAAGGCGATAACTGTTTAACACCAGTGAATGTATGCCTCTGTTGAGGTCTTCCAAAAACACTACCCACATTTCTCTGCTGCACATCTATTTATATTTTGGAAAACAAAAATCGCCGATAAACACCGAAAGCAGCCAAGTTTTGTGGCAGCGACGCTGTGCCAAAGCCGAACAACAACAACATCAGAGCAACCAGCAACAATGAAATGAGCGCAAACTTTAGACCAAACCAAAATATACAAAAAAACTTAAAGCAATACAACAACAAAAGCTTAACTTCACTGCGCTGCTAATAGCTCTGGCTGAAACTCATACGAACGATCCCAACGATCGTTGCAGCCATTGATCTCAAGTACGCGCAGTCGTGCGGTCAGGTCAGTATCAGCGGTGTTGTTGGTCATCACATAAAAGCGCCCACCCTCAACAATTCGTGAATTAAACGTTGAAGCGCAATCGAAAAATTGCCGAAAATTGCGCTAAGCCCAAACCTACCACAACGGCGCGCATGAAACGCATTTACGGCAGCAACAACAACACCGGAGTTTAAATGCGTAAAATTTGGCCAAATAAAACTCTGCGCATGACTTGTGGAACGAAATGAGAACTCAACACGCTCTGCTCCGTCATAGTAGCCACAAATGCAAGGGGTTGCCTCGCTTCATCACTAATTCACCACACCTTTGAGCTGGCGCTATTGATACACCTTCGCAATCTGATCGAGAGTGAGAGTGAAATCCACAGGCGGGCGCTCGACTGCGCTGCGTCATCGTAGTGTTCGCTCAGCGTCCGAACAAAAGTGAGAGTCGTTAAATTTGAATTTGTGCTGCGCTTCAGATTTGCGCTGCAGATGGCACTTCTTCGCGCACTGTTAATGTGGCCGTTTGAAGTGGTGGCATTAACACCAGCTCAGGCGCCGCAGCACTCCGCAGTCGGCTATGCACCTTCGACGAGTGCTAATGGTCCACTTGAAGTGCCATGCACAATTTGAAATGAAATTAAGTGAAGTAAAGTGCAGATGGCATTAGGCGTGCTGAAATGTAGAAGAAGGAGGGGAGGCGAAGTTTTTTTTGTGTTTGGCATACGAGTATATTGTATATGTTGTAAGGAGGTCAACGTAACAATGTTATTTATCATTTTTAATGATGTTGCTTTGAAGTAAACGTAATAAATAGCTTGAGAAGATAGTGAGAATGTGCAAATTCAGGTGTTGGTTCAAGGACTAATGACTGACCCAAATACTTGTATGAAGTTAATTTCTCTAGACTGGAAGATTTGGTGTACTTTTCAGCTGAAAGAGGCACATCGAATCAGTTTAAATCTTCCAAGGATTTTATGGTATTTTTGACTTTTATTAAGGTATTTTTGACATTTCATAACCGCAAGCTTACAAATAAAAACAAGGAAGAGCACACAAATTTATGGAATAGTAGGAGTAAATTAAAACTTAAGATCTTATAACTTACATACGATAATTTACAAGAAATTATTATGATGGACATGATAGGCAAACTAAAATATAACATAAATTAATATATATAAATAAGCGATTGCTGGTTTTTGCATTATTATCTAATAGCAAATAGTATACTAATATCAAGAGTATCAGACAAGTGACGCTTTAAGCAGCCGGTAACAACTTTCGATCTATAAGGCACTTTCAACTTATCCACAAATACAAAACCGATACCAAATGAAAGGAATATGATAATGGAACATCAACTGTGATACTTTTTTTATAAGAAAACCTCATAAATTTTATAACGAAAAAAATTAGCTAAAAATATTTCAATGAAATAGAAAATCATCAAGTATCAAGTATATACTTTAGTTAAATATAGCCAACTAGACTATACCCAAATAACTGAATTAACCCAACCATTTTTATAGAAATATTCATTAAGCGCTTCTGAGTTAGAGCTATCAATTATGGTACGGTTTATTTATAAATAACACCCTTTTTTTTTTACAAAACCATTACTCGCAACCTTTTTATAATTATTCGTTCATCACCATGTCTTCCAAGCCTTAAACTTATATTGACGTGTGCCAAACTAATGACTTATTGACATTCAATGTCATCGCCTTAAGAGACTAACAACAATGAAATTAATAATTTTATCAATCAATCTAATTAAGTAAACTAAGTCGCGCTGTATGTGGTAGCATTTTACAGTAGGCTTAACCCTGTCTAAACGATTAGCCATATTTCAAGCGAGTGGTAATTATAGAAAGTTAAAAATGAGAAAAATTATAAATAATAAACTCAAAAAATTTCCATTAATTGTATAATAACATACAAGTCATCGTATCGGTTTTCGCAATTTCGATAGGTTCCGGTAAAATGTCATATTTCAAAATTAGAATATATGATAAATTAGATTACAATGTGTTGATAAACGTTGTCACATAAATTGATAAATTCATCAACTAAATATCACAGGTTGTGAAAGGTTAAGCAATAAGTAAACTGCTTATTCGAAAGTATCAAAATCAATGAGTATCATTCAACGGATTTCTTTTATAATCGCATTATAGCAGTGGTATCATTGAGCTCACATCAAAGTATGCCGATAAATATGTGCGAAAAGCGTGCCATCGACACCAAAAAAACACAAAGAAGTATTATAAAACAAAATTTTTTTAAATATGTGTCTAACTTAGCAAAAAAAGCACAATAAATAAATAACCATAAAAAAAGTCGGCTGTGCCGAAGTTTTAATACCCTTCATTAAATTTGAAAACATAACCGGCCAATGGTTTGCATCCAACGGAAAACGTTTGGCAAGTTCTTTCCAGCAACGTTGTTTAATACATACAAGTATAAACAACCTTCCAGTCGAATTCAGGTTAGATAATAAGGAAAAAAGCTCTTTTATGAAAATCTCCATTTTGATCGAACAGTTTGTACGGCAGCTTTATCCGATTGCGGTCCGATATCGGCGATTCATATAAATGATCTTCTTGCGGGGAAAAGGATGTGTGCAAAATTTAAGACCGATATCTCAACACAGACGGATGACTAAGCACGTCACGCTGATCATTTATATAGTATATACTTTCTTCTCCGACATTTTTTTCTGGGTGTTACAAACTTCGTGGCAAACTTTCTCTCACCTCTTCAAACTCTGTGAAAATGGGTAAAATCAGATATTAACCACGCCCACTCCCCATATAATGGTTGTGTTGAAAACTACTAAAATTGCGATAACTCACTGAATAAATGCGCTACAAGCATTAAATTTCACGACCAAAATGATGGGGACGAGCTTAACTACTGAACCATTTTTTAACAAATTTGGTGTATGAGGTTATCATCCTATGATATACTGTAAAAATGGGCGAAATCGGACAGTAACCACGCCTACTTCTCATATAACCCAATTTTAAATTCCACTAGATTTTTTCACTTTCCAGTAAACAAATCAAACACCAATAAATATATCAACATAAAACTTTGCACAAGTGCCCATAGAGTATTTAAAGTTTCAAGGTCAAAAATAGACAAAATCAGGCTATAACACCAAATATCTGGAGTCCAGTGTATTTGGCTGATTTTTAACGGAGCATATCAGTCAATCTGTGTGTTATTGAAATTTTTAAATCTTTTTGTGATAACAACATGCCCTGGTGCCGAAAATGGTTAAAATCGGGTCATCGGGCTCCCTTAGCCTCATATATCTAATATAAATATTTTCGAACTTCCGGTTGACTTCGGTCAATTTGTAAAAAATCTTATTGAAATTCAGAAAGAATCTCTAATAACATACTTTCCACTTTTAGTTAAAATATATACGAAAATCCCATACATCGCTTTAGCTTGCAAAAGTATAAAATGTTCGGTTACACCTGAACTCAGCACTTCCTTACTTGTTGCTAACTAAAATTACATCTTAGAGCAGAATGCAAAAAGTTAATAATATAAATATCTAATATATAATATCTAATCTAATCTAATATATTATATGTATGTAGTTCAAATCGACTTAAGGTACTATAAGAATAAGCCTAAGCTTTAAATTTACTTCCAACATTTACAAAAATTGTATCAAAGTTTAATGTTAATTTAACGGTCGTGTAGGGTATACAATTTAAAAATCTACTCAGGCAAAGACCTCTTGAAAAGTGCAAGTGTAGAGATAAATATTGTAAGAGCGAAAAAATAGCAGGCAAGTGAAACGAATTAGATAACAAAATAAAAATACTAGCACAAACAGCAGAGCTAAGACGTTGCAAATGGCCCAGAGAAATGTGGCACCAATTTGTCCATTTCTTTATGGTTAATTAGTATTATGCTTTTGTGGCAAGTTATTCATTGAGTGGTGCCATTTCCGTCAACTTTATCTAGTACTTTTTGCTAGTCAAATTTTTTTTTTTACCTTTTTGTTAATTTTTGAATGTTTGACTACCAGCTACCGGTTTTGTCGTTATTGCTTAGTTATTCATCTTTTCTTCTCAAATATAATTTCTGTATTTTAATTCTCTTTTCCCTTCTTTTTATTCATTGTAGTGTCATGGGACGATTATCTTGTTGGCTGTTTATCGACGTTTTGTAACTCAAATTTCACTCTGATTTGTGCTACCGAGCTATATGTACATACATATATCTACTGGTAAGAGGTTTTTAATTGAAAGTCAGACAAGTATTTGCGAAATTTTCTCAATTAACTCTATTATAATTATTAAGGTCTCTACCTACTGCTATGTCAAGGAATACAGGATAAATTGAGATGAAAACGAAAAAACACGTTAACTTCGGTTGCACCGAAGCTATAATACCCTTCACAGGTACAAAGGTTCCTTACAATAACTTGATTCAGATCTAATTTCGTGAATCGGCAATAAAAAATAAAATTTTTTTCCAAGCAGGCACTTTACTCCGATCGTTCAGTTTATATGGTAGCTGTATGACATAGCGATCCGATCTAAACAATTTTTTCGGAGATTATATTCTTGCCTTAGAAAATAATTCATGCCAAATTTCGTCAAGATATCTCGTCAAATGAAAAAGTTTTTTATGCAAGCACTTTACTCCGATCGTTCAGTTTGTAT